TATTTATTTATTTAATCAGGACAGTGCACATTAATGAACAATCTCATACAGATTGTAAAAGAGCCAGATTCTAGCATAGTTGCTAGTTTACATCTGTAGTCCTGAGACAGGAAGACAAAACAACACAAAATCACAAAATACAAAATCAGTCCAAACACACGTTCAGACAATGACATTACAAAATTAAAATTAATTCAATTCAATTTTATTTATATAGCGCCACATCACAACAACAGTCGTCTCCCAGCTTTCCAAACAAAGCAGGTCAGACCTACTCTGAAGTTAACTACAGAAACCCAACAATTCCCACCATGAGCAAGCACTAGGCGACACAGGCAAGGAAAAACTTCCTTTAACAGGCAGAAACCTCGAGCAGAACCATAACTCATGCATCATTCCATCTTTTATTTTAACAAATACGCACTCGTTTCTGAGTTTAGGATTAAATCTCTGGTGAAATAAGAGGGAGGAAGTGTTAGTTTTGGTTCTTTAGCTGGAAGTCTGAGAATAAACCAGAGCAGATCAAGAGTACAAATCTGACTTTTATTGGTCACAAGCAGAGTAAAGCAGCTGGGCTCTCACAGACAAACAGGAGGACGAGTGTTATTGGCCAGTTAGCTCTGACAGGAACAGGCCAGGTCCTAATTCATGCAGGTTTAGGTGGAATGTGATAAGAAAGTGTGTGTGTGGAGCTTGAAGGAGAATCTGTGTGTTAACACCAGAGTTTAGCTCTAGAAGGAATAAGACCACCAGTCATTTACATGGATTATGTGCTAGCATACGATGCTAACGGGGATGGCTAGAGCCCGGTTCTAACAAGTTGTGCAGAACGAGAATCTACTGTAACAGAGAGAGGAGGAGGAGGCACAGCCAGAGAGTTTAAACCAAAAGTAGAATTATAAAGGGAACAATATGAATCTAAAAAGGAATAAAACAATCAGTCATTTACATGGATTAAGTTATAGCATGCTATTGTTAGAATTGGGCTATAATGACTCACTTTAGCATAGCATGCTATAGCTTAATCCATGTAAATGACTGATTGCCTTATTCCTTTTTAGATTGATATTATTCCCTTATTCTGTTCATTCTCAAACTCAAAGCACACAAATAAGATAAGATAAAAAACCCACCGGAGTAAAAACCACTGGGGATGAAACCTGAACGTTCCTCAGCAGAACTAGCATACGCGGCTCTGGACAGG